AACATATCAAAATTAATTAACTTATTTTTATTATCTTGCAGGCTTTTCTTGTGTGGCAAATTCTCCTCTCATTTATTTTTCTTGGTAGGCGATATAAACTCAACCAACTACTTGGATGCTTTCTTGTGGCAATTGGTGTAATTCTCACTGTAGCAAGGTCAGTCCATTTTAATTTTGTAGATGATAGGTTACGTTGACTCATTTAACTGCACTCTTCAACGGTGAACCATTAGGCAAAAGAACTTGGTCTACAATGATATTGAACATAAATCAACATATAAATCTGATTGTCATATACATTCTGCCGCAATTAATGGTTGCTTATGTTTTGTTTGGCCAAATTGATTCAAGTTCGTCATTTATATGACTGTTCAGTATTTTATGTTTAACATGAGAGTTTAAGGCGGTGTGAATCATTAAAGTAAAAACTTAGTCAATGATTTCAAATTTATTAAGTAGATTTCACACTGAACTTCAAAGTAAAACTTTTGGTAGAACTCTAAGTGATTCCATTAGTTCATTGACTCGAATGGTTTTTAAAACTAAGTCTTAAAAGCTGTTTTATTTAGTATCTCGGCATAGTGTAAACTTTTGAAATATATTTTGTTCTTCTGTTATTAGATCATTGACATAACATCTTGTAACATCACATGTATATGTTGCAATCATGTGAAGTAACTATGCCATGTACAAACTATGTATACTGTGTTTATGCTTGTGGTTTTCTGATTTTAGACCTTGTTTACTTATTGTAGTGGATCTGGTGCTGGACATTCATTGAAAGAAGCTGGTATATTTTGGAGTCTTTTAATGATAGTTTCATTTTTATTCCAAGCAGCTGATACTGTTCTGAAGGTGGTTGTCTATTTTAGTGATTGTTGCATGTTCTGAGATTTTGAATTGTTTCCCTGTGGTGACTCATGAATTTTTCATACTTTGTAGGAAATAATTTTTTTGAACGCAACTCAAAAACTGAAGGTGTGTTCATTGATGAATCATTCATATGTTATGTAAAAATGACTTTGGAAATGAAACGCATAGCACATGGCTATTTTGGACTAATAGTAATTGCTGGCGCACTTGGTAACATAAGACATCTTGCCTCAAACTTCAATAGAGAAAGAACGATGTCACTAAATTTACATAGAACCTTCACAAAAGTAACTGAAGATTATTGGCTAAATTTTTTGAAACTTCGTACAACCAGAAGTCACAATACCCATGGCTGATAGACTCATTTATATTGTGAAGTTAAACAATAAACCCTTTGGTCATTCGTGGTTCTGAAGTGAAAATCATCCCTTTTTGTATGCTTTGTTAATTATTGTAGTTACACTTTCTGATATGATAATGTTGTAAACAATATCCAATGTTTTCTGAAACAGGGGGGTTCTCTAGATATGTTTGTTGTTAATTCATTCGGATCTGCATTCCAGGTGCATTGCCATCGTCATGAATTTTTTCTTTTTTCTATTTAGATATAAATAAAAATGGCTGCCTAATTACATGATGCTATGCTTACTGTAGGCACTGTTCATATGCCTTCTCCTCCCCTTCTTATCAAAATTATGGGGCATCCCGTTTAGTCAACTACCAAACTATCTTAAAGATGGCACTGCCTGCTTTCTGAATGTTGGGACATTGTCAAGGGGTAAGCAGTTGTCCTCTTTTCCATACTCTCATTTCTTACAGAAGGTGATAACAGAAGACTTTCTTTTGGTTATCAAATGGTGTTTTCTTAGAATCAAAGTTCATCAATAATATTGATGACCTAGTTCTACCCTCAAGTTACAAGGAAAGATTATTTTACATGTAAAATTTAAAGTACAAAAAATTGCTGAATGAGAACCCATATAAGAAAATAAAATTGAAACAGAAATCTTACTGAGCCAAAAAGTCAGTTTTTCCCTTCAGATATGTTAGTCTTTTGATTTTTATAAATTTTTCAGCTGTTATGTGAAATTCTTAAGCAAAACCTAGTGTTGTGGTAGCTTTCATGCATTTTTCTGATCATATAGTCCTTGGTGCAGAATGGTAAGAGAGAATAAATGGTAA